TGCTGCTGCTGCTGCTGCTGCAGGTCCCCACGGTGTCGACAGGTTCCTTCAAGCTAACTGCAGCAGCAAAGGCCGCAGCAGCAGTGCTGCAGCAGCAGCAGCGGCTGCAGCTGCATCACCGGCTGCTGCCGTTGCCGCTGTCTAAGTAAATGTATGTCTTCAAATGCATCAAATACAAAGAAAAATTATTTTCTGCATAACTCAAAGAAATAAAAGAAGTTTGTTGCCGCGGGTGGCCATACACCTGAGCCACTCCGTCGGGCCTCTGTTGCAGTTCCCTGGGGGCCCTCTCAGGGGCCCCCAGGGAACTGCAACAAAATGTAACAATTTGAGGCTAGAAATGTTATATAACATTGAAATTTAAGAATGAATATATAAAATTTAGGGCTAAAGATTTAGGGTTTAGGGTTTAGGTTTTAGATCACCAGCAGCATCTGCAGCAGCAACAACAGCAGCAGATCCGGCTGTTGCTGCTGCGCCTCCAAAATTGAGGCATCTCAGGGGTTTGTTTTCTTATTTTCTCGATCAAATTTACATCAAATATAATTTTATTGGTTTGTAAAATAAGTACTTGCTGGTTCCTCGCTTTGGTGGGGTCTGGCTGCTTGCCGAGGGTTTAGGGTTTAGGGTTTAGCGTTTACGGTTTAGTTAAGCAAGTGATCTCATCTTCATCCAATACTTTCAGGCACCATTACTGTAACCACTGCAGCAGCAGCAACAGCATCAGCAGCAGCAGAGCTGCAGCAAAATATAATTCACCAGCACAGCTCCACTCTGAGTACGTTGCCTGTTTAGCAGCAGCTTCATTACAACAGCAGCTGCTGCTGCGTTTGCTGCTGCTGCCGATTCAGCTTTTGCTGCTGCGCTTGACGCTGCTGCTGCACTCGGTAGTGGGGCTGCTGCTGCACTTAATCCTGTTCCTGCTGCAGCATCCGCTGAACTAGGTGCTGCTGTTACCGCTGCAGTTGGTGCTTCACCTGTTGCTGCTGTTATTGTTGCTGCTGCTGCTGCTGCTGCGGTTGCTGCAGCGCTTTTTGCTGCATTTGCTGCGGCCTCTGTCGCTGCTGCTGCCCAAACGGACAGGGAATGAGAAGGTGCTGCTGTTGCTGTTGTGCTGCTGCGGAATGCCGTATGCTGATGCAGTGCAACTTCTTCTGCTGCTTGTGCTGCTGCTTCTGCAGCTGCGGCAGTTGCTGCTCCTGCTGCTGCTGCTGTTTCTGAGTCATGAATAATTGGTTGGCAGCGCTAAACTGCTTTTTCTTTGAACGTAACCGCAGCAGAGAGTGCCAAGGTAAAATCCTCAACAGCAACAGCAAAAATTGCTGCAGCAACGGCAGCAGCTGCAGCAGCAACAGCAGCAGCGGCTGCGGCAACAACAGCAACACTTTATTGGGACTCCCAGGACAGCCCCATCTAGTACATTAGCTTGAAAAAGCTGCAACAGCAGGTGAAGCAGCAGCAGCTGCAACAGCACTAGCAGCCACCGATGCCGCTGCTGTAAGCTTCGCTGCAGCTACAAGTGCAGCTGTTGCTGCAGCTAGTGCTGCTGCTGCTGCTGCTGCTAGGACTGCTGACGGCAGCAGCAGCAGTCCTATTGTACTGCTGCAATGATGAAACGCCCTGCAGCAGCAGCAGTGGTGCAGAAGCAGCAGCAGATGCTTACAAAGGAAGCATACTCACAGACTGAGCAGCAGCTGCTGCCGCAGCTTGTGCTGCTGCTGCTGGTGTCTTACTGCCACTAGGACTTTTGCAAGTTCCACGAATGGCTGCAGCTTCAGCCACTGCTGCTGCTGCTGCAGCTGACGCTGCAGCGGCAGCAACGGCAGCACCTGCAGCCGTCGCTGCTGCAGCAGCAACGGCAGCACCTGCGCGCGTCGCTGTCCGCGAGGATTCCTTTGCTGCAGCGCTGCAGTTAGTTTGCTGCTGCTGTGTCCCACCAGGGCTGCAGCAAAGCAACAGCAGCGAGCTGCTGCTGGAAAGTATAATCGGGGGCAGATCTGCACGCAGACAGTAGCCGGAGCTGGAGCAGCAGCAGCCGCAGCTGGAGCAGCAGCAACAGCACCAGCTCGAGTAGCAGCAGCTGCAGCAGCACGGATTTCTCTCTTCTTTGCTGCTAAGGGATACGCTCCAGTAGCTGCAGCGAGTGCGCTGTTGTCGGTGGTGGCAGCAGCAGCAGCAGCGGCAGCAAGTGACCTTTGTGTGACGGCGCAGTCTGGCTGTCAACGGAGCAGCAGCAGCAGCGGCAGCAGCAGCAGCAGTTGCAGCAACAACGTTACGGCGCAAAGAACATTTAAGGCCATTTGTTTATAAATTTAAACAGGTGGGAGCGTTGAGAAGATTAGCTGCAACTGTAGGAGCAGCAGCAGCCCTTGTGGACGGCGTAGGTCAGCAGCAGCCGCTGCTGCTGCTGAAGCAACAGCAGCAACTGCAGCAACAGCAACCGCTGCCTTGCCTTGGGAACCAATTAATTTGCAGCAAAAATCATCACAGCAACAGAAGCAAACTTCAGGAATTAGCGACAACCCTGCAACGTGGCCGTCGTGCAGCAGGAGCAGCAGCAGCAGCAACAGCGGCAGCGGATTGAGAAACTTCCAGTGCTTCCTTCACAAGGCCCCACAGCGGCCCTGTGAGGCCGCAGAGCCAGAAGCAGCAACAAAGACGGCAGTAGCCGCCGCTGCAGCAGCAGCAGCAGCAGCTGCGGCGGAGCGAAACGGATAATTTCAGAGCGATCTGCTGCTTCTCCCAGGTGAGCTCAGCAGCAGCAGCAGTTGTTGCTGCCACAAGAAGAGCGTCTCAGCAGCAGCAACAGCAGCAGCAGCTCACCAAGGGGTCACTGCTGCGGCGCGCAAGCAGCATCTGGAGAACAGGAGCATGAGGAGCGGCAGCAGCAGCAACATCAGCATGGGCAGCAGCAGCAGCAGCAGCAACAGTAGCAGCAGCAGCAGCAGCAACGAATGATGGTCTCAAGAGCCAGCAGCCCAGCCTCATCTCCTGTGGGGCGGACTGACGGGTGTGTTGCCTGGGGTGCAGCAGCAGCTCTTGCTGCTGCTGCTGCTGCAGCTGCTGATGCCGCTGATGACAGAGATGCTGTTGCTATTGCTGCTGCTGCTGGTGCTGCTGCTAGTAGCTGCTGCTGCTTCAGTTCTTGGTGCTGCTGCTGCTGCTGCAACCGGTTCTCTCGTTTTCAAATGACCCTGTATTTATCTGGCAGCAAAAGGTGCTGCTGCTGCTGCGCTTTTGTTGTTGCTGCTGCTGCTGCTGTTTGTGAGTTGCTGTGCTGCTGTGGTTGTTTGTGTCCAGGCGGGGGCCATACACTGCAGCAGAGGGGAGGCACTCAGGAACACCAGCAGCAGCAGCAGCAGCAGCAGAAGATGAAGACCTGCATGCTGCGCTGCTGCGGCTGCCGCAGCACCTGCTGCTGTCTACAGGCATAAGAGAAGCTGTGCTGCAGCCAGGAGTGGCCCCGGAGTCTTTAGTAAGGAGACACACCACTGCATGCGACTGCAACAGCAGCAGCAGCAGCAGCAGCAGCAGCAGCAGCGGCAGCCACTGCTGCGCCTGCGGCGTGCTAAATGGGGAAGCTGCGGCGCGGCGCGCGCTGCATGGCAGCAAAGCAACACCAGCAGCAGCAGCAGCAGATCCTGCTGCTCTAAAGGGAAGCAGGGAAAAACACGGGAAGCTCCAAGTGAACGAAAGCAGCAGCAGCAGCAGCAGCAAGAGGCGCTCAAGCATCTTGCCTATGAGCCCTGCGGCTGGGGACCGTGGAGCAGCAGCAGCAGCAGTATCTCCCAAAGCAGCAGCAGCAGCAGCAGCGAAGCAGCCAGCATGCGTGAGCGCCGTGCTGCAGCAGGAAAGTCTGCTGCAGGTGCTGCTGCAGCAGATGCTGCTGTCCCCAGAAGCAGCAGCAGCAGCAGCAGAAAGAGAAGCTGGAAACCTCGCCGCCTACTGCGTCTACTGCGCAGGCCATTTGCTGATTCCGGGTTTCCTTCGTCTCAAGGATGAGCTGCTCATTTTTAAAGAAGGTTTGCTGCTGCTGCTGCTGCTGCTGCTGCTGCTGCTGCTGCTGCTCCTACTGCTGCTGCTGCTGTTGCTGTAGGGGCTGGGGTATCGACGCTGGCGTTACTCAACGTTGCTGTTGCCGATGCTGCTGCTGTTGCTGCTGCTACTGCTGAGGCTGTGTCTATCGGCGTTGCTGTTGCTGACGCTGCTGCTGCTGCTGCCGCTGCTGCTGCTGCAGCTCCCCCCACCGACGGCGAGGGCCACGCACTGAGCAAAGGGGGGCAGATTCCCGAGGTGTACATACACCTCAGAGACATTCTTGAATGCGCATGCGTTATGGCGCCTCCACTAGATGATTTGGTGCCTTCTCCTGCGTTGGCAGCAGCAGCAGAAGCAGCAGCAGCAGCAGCAGCAGCAGCAGCCAGGCGCAGCAACACAACCGCCACCTGCAGCCTGATGGATGCAGCAGCAGCAGCAGACCCCCCGTCGTACCTGCAGCTGCTGCTGCGCACCCTGGGGGCGGAACAGCACGTAGACCAGCAGCAGCAGCAGCAGCAGCAGCACCGTCATCACCACCACTTGCGCAGGAGTGCAAAGGCAGCAGCAGAGCATGCAACTGCTGCAGCAGAGGAAGCAGCAGCAGCAGCAGCAGGTGCTTCTGCTGCCCCGACGCCTCGCGACTCGGCTGCTGCAGCGGCAGCAGATGAGATGCCCTCTGGCTTTGCTGCCGCTGCTGCTGCTGTTGCTGCCGCCTCCGCTGCAGCAGCAGCGGCGACACCATCGACACCCAGGCAACAGGAGCAACAGCACCAGCAACAAAAGCACCAACAGCAGCACCAGCAGCAGCAGCAGCAACTTAAGCCCTCCCCACAGCGGAGAGGCTCAGTTGGGGAATGGCTGAAGGCGTGGCGGCACTCAACCCCCAGCGATGCGTCTCCTTCTCCGCAGCAGCGGCAGCAGCAACAGCAGCAGCAGCAGCACGAGCAGCAGGAAGGGGAGCAGCAGGAACAAGCCCAGCAGCAACAGCAGCAGAAGCTGCTGTCGCCCAACAGGCTGGTGCAGACCCCGCGGACCGAGTGAGCATGGGCTCGCAGCGGTTTAGGGTTTAGGGTTTAGGGTTTGGCGTTCAGGGTTTAGGGTTTAGGGTTTAGGCTCTACGTGGCGTGTGCACTTGCTGCAGGGCCCGCCGCAGGTGCAGCAGCAGCAGCAGCAGCTTTGCGGCCCATTCCGAAGCGCGGAGACTCTTCGTGCTTTTCGGGTTTTTGTCTCGAGGGGAAGCAAATGCATTTACGAGAAGTTTGATAAACAAAGTGGACCAGTGGACAGGGGTTAGCTGCTGCTGCTGCTGCTGCTGCAATTAGCGCTGCACATGCTGTTGATGCTGCTCTTCCCGCTGCTGCTGAGGCTGCTGCTCTTGCTGTTGTTGTTCCTGCTGGTGCTGCTGCTGCTGCTAGTGCTATTGCGTGTGCTCGTGCTGCTGCTGCTGTTGCTGTTTTTTTGTCTCTGCTGCTGCTGCTGTTCTTTTTGCTGCTGCTGCCAGTATTGCTGCTCCTGGTGCTGCTGCTGGTTGTGGGGTTTTAGCCGACGACGCTGGTGCAGCTGCTATCGCTGTTGCTGCTCGC